ACAGTATGGTCTGCCATCCAAAGGGATGTGGTCGACCATATTGGTCAATGGTTGACCACGCCAGAGCAAAATTTAAAAAAAAAAAAAAAACTAGTTGTTGGAGGCTTAGCTATAAATACCCCAATACTCCTAAAAGCACCTAGATCTTTTATAACTCTTGTGCTCTCGTACACATATATAGTGTGAATCCTACCTTGGATAAAGAGTGCCACCTTCATATCTTCAACACAAGTTTTAGAAGAGGTTTCCCCAAGGGAGTCTCAAAGTTCTTTACTTGTGGAATGTATGACACTTGTCTCACCTAGACACTACATTGGGGGCTAAGGGTATTGGTTCCCCTTGCGAAACCCATTTTCTAGATTTGTAAAACTGTTAAAGTATTAGGTCTGTGTTGTGGAGGTTGCGGTTTTGGGTGGGCCTATAACTATTGTAACCCTTGAAGAAGTGGATGTAAAGGTTTTGGGTTCCCTAGTAAAAACCTGTTTGTTTACTGAATTAACGCTAGTAGGGAGGCAGGGTATGGACAAGAAACCAAACCACTATAAATTTTTGTGTTCATCTCTTTATAATGTCACTTATATTTGAATGTTGATATTGTCAGTATAGAATTGTTTTATTTGTGATACATGACTTTGAGCATATTATATGTCAAGAGGAGATAGCTAAAACATAGATTGTGCGGAGTAAAAAACAGAATGTGGTAGCTAGAAGTAGTGCAGAAGCAGAGTTCAGAGCTGTTGCCCATGGAATCTGTGAAGTAATGTGGATTAAAAGAATTCTTGAAGAATTAAAGCTTTCTCACCCGACACCTATGAAGGTCTATTGTGACAACAAAGCAGCTATATCTATAGCTCATAATCCAGTTCTACATGATCGCACAAAACATATAGAAGTGGATAAACATTTTATCAAGGAGAAAATCAATGCTGGCATAATCTGTATGACCTACCTTCCAACAGGTGAACAATTAGCTGATGTGCTAACGAAGGGACTACACAAGAAGCAATTTGATAAGCTGACTAGCAAGCTGGCTATGGAAGATATCTTCAAACCAGCTTGAGGGGGAGTGCTAGAAATTTGTGTTAATGTATATAATAAGATGGTGGCATGTATATAATATGATAGTGGTGTTGGTGGTAGATAGTGGCATGTATATAATATGATAGTGGTGTTGGTGGTAGATAGTGGCATGTATATAGTATGATAGTGGTAGATAGTGGTAATATATAATATGTAAGTGGCATATAATGGGTTATAATGATGTTTGTAATATCTCCTATATAAGGAGTGTCATTTGGTCTTGTAAAATAAGAAGTTTTGAATATAACAGAAATATATTTCTTCTTCCTCATATTTTCTAAGTTAGGAGTTCTTCTTCCTCATATTTTCTAAGTGTTTTATTAAAATTGATTAAAAAAAATGTGACTAATTTAACACTTTTCCATCAGATGGGAAATAGAATGGCATATGATAACCCATTGTTCAACCCTTGCTCCCCCGGGGGGAGGGCGGCTCTTTGCTAGTGGCCTCCTCGCCCTGGGTGTAGGTGAATCCTTGAACAAAAAGTCTGAAATGCATTCTACCTTTTAAAATAATGACAATAAATTCGTATTGCATCTGTAAATCTTGCATTTTGCATCACTTATACTCATTATACCAGTGCAAAGGTCATGTATCCATTGAGGTGATCCTAGCTTTTTCTGGTAATGCCTGATTTATTCATCATATGGCCTATAAGCTAGTTTTGGTTGTCTTACAAATGCCAAACAGAAGCTTATCCAGAAGGGCTCATAGCGTCCCACTTACAGCCCAAAACATAAGTACGAAATTGGCACCAGTGATACAATTTTAAATCTTAGTTCTGCATATGCCGATTAAGCTGAAATGACTATGTCCTTAACTAGATCAAAAGAAAAATGTGGTTACATTAGGGGTGTGCACGGGTTGGGTTGGGTTGGGTCGGGTTCACCCTAAACCCATCAACCGAACTGAATGCATCGGGTTCATGTTTATCTCAACCGATTTCGATCCATTTTGATTCGAAACCATATCTTTCCTCAACTGAAATCAGCAGTCGGTTAAGGTCAGTTTTGACAACATATGCATACAACACAAAAAATAGAGGACTTAAGATGTAGACAAAGATTCCAACGACGGTAGTGGTTTGAGGGGACAACTGTGATGGGGTTTCGAGGGAGAAGATTGTAGGGTAGCGAGATTTGAGACCAAAGAAAGATAGATGGTATGAGGGAGATCAGAATTGATAACATGATTCATCACCACCACCAGTTGACCACTGTGATTCATCTGAACCTTGAGTAACCAGCTTAGGGTTTGATAGAATATCATCCCCTATTTATAAATGAAGATTAGGGTTTACAAGATGAGACAATTACAAGTCGAGCCCTGAGGGCATAGACTAATTACAAACCACAAAAGCTCAGATTATAATATAATATGCTATCACTCCCCCTCAAGCTGGTGCGAAGATATCTCTCATGCGCAGTTTGCCTAATATGTCATGAAATGGTTTATTCCCAACCCCCTTGGTGAGAATATCAGCAAGTTGTTCACCAGATTTGACAAAAGAAGTACAAATGGTACCACTAGTGAGTTTCTCTTTAATGAAGTGGCGATCAATCTCAGCATGTTTTGTCCTGTCGTGTTGAACTGGATTGTGAGCGATGTTGATAGCGGCCTTATTATCACAGTATAACCGCATGGAGTCCGTCTATGGAGTCCGTCTGATCAATACCTAGATCACTCAACAATAACTTGATCCATAAAAGTTCACACATACCTTGTGCCATAGCTCTAAACTCAGCTTCTGCACTTGACATGGCAACCATATTCTGTTTCTTACTCCTCCAAGTAACTAGGTTGCCTCCAACAAAAGTGCAGTACCCTGAAGTCGATCTCCTATCAATTACTGATCCAGTCCAGTCAGCATCTGTATAGGCTTCCACATGAAGATGATCATACTTTGAAAAATAAAGACCCTTATCAAGAGCAGACTTCAAGTACCTCAAGATTCTCATGACAGCCTCAAAGTGAATCTGATGAGGAGCATGCATAAACTGACTAACCACACTGATAGTAACAGCAATATCAGGACGGGAGTGAGATAGGTAAATGAGCTTACCCACTAATCGCTGATAGCTCCCCCTATCAACAGCTTCTCCTCCTTCACCATCCTCCAATTTCTGATTGGGTTCCAGTGGAGTGGCACATGCCTTGCAGCCAAGCATTCCAGTTTCCTTTAATAGGTCAAGCACATATTTTCTCTGTGAGATAAATATCCCATCCCTAGAGCGAGCAACTTCAATTCCTAGAAATTACTTCAAGCTTCCCAAGTCTTTGATTTCAAACTCATTAGCTAAATATTTCTTCAACAGAGGTATTTCCCCACTATCATTGCCTGTAAGAACTATGTCATCTACATAAACAATAAGTGTTGTAGTCTTACCACGTGAGGAATGTTTTACAAACAAGGTGTGATTTGCCTGACTCTGTTTGAAGTCATATTTAAACATAGCCTGAATGAAACTCTCAAACCAAGCCCTTGGAGACTGTTTGGAACCATATAATGACTTCCGAAGCTTGCATACTTTGCCTTCTGTCTGATGATCCTCAAAACCAGGAGGAATGTCCATATATACCTCTTCTTCGAGGTCACCATGGAGAAACGCATTATTGACATCAAACTGATAAAGTGGCCAATCTAGATTAGCTGCTAGAGAGAGAAGTACTCTGACTGAATTCATCTTAGCCACGGGTGCGAAGGTCTCTTGATAATCAATGCCATATGTCTGAGTAAACCCTTTTGCCACAAGTCTTGCCTTGTAACGCTCAATAAACTCATCTGCTTTGTGTTTCACAGTATATACCCATTTACATCTCACAGGTCGTTTGCCCGTAGGTAACTCAGACAATTCTCAAGTGCCATTCTTCCTAAGTGTTTTCATTTACTCAATCATGGCTAGTTTCTACTCAGAGGTAGCAAGAGCATCCTGAAAATGGTCAGGAATGCTAACAGAGGAAATATTGAACACAAACGCTCTATATGAGGATGACAAATGAGAGTAGGACACAAACTGGGAGATAGGATGTTGAGTACAAGATCTCACACCCTTCCTCTTGGCAATAGGAACATCAAGATCAATGGACTCAAGAGATTCAAAGTTACCTAGACTCTCATCAGAAGCAGTAGATGGCAGTGGAGGAGCAGAAGTGGTCCCTTGTATCCAGTTAACTTGTTGTCTGTCTATGTCTCGGACATAAACATGCCCGTCCTTATCCTTGGTGACATTGGGTTCTACAGTCCTAATAGAAGAGGGTGGTACAAGAACAACTGGTTCCACCATAGGAAGCACAGTAGAAGAGGGTGGTGCAAGAACAATTGGGTCCACCATAGGAAGCACAGGACTCACTTCACACCAAGGCTACCCCGGAAATGAGGACGGTGACACCGGAGAGGACAAGAAATAGGACTGGGACTCAAAGAAAGTAACATCCATGGACACAAACCACTTACGAGAAGAAGGGTGGTAACATTTATACCCCTTTTGAGTAGGAGAGTAGCCAAGGAAAACACATTTGAGAGAGCGAGGGTCCAACTTACCACGGGAAGGAGAGTGATTATGAACAAAACAGACACAACCAAAAATTTTGGGAGGAATAGAAAACAAGGACTGAGAACCTAGGAGGACGTGAAGAGGAGCTTGTTTTTGCAGGACTTGGGTAGGGAGACGATTAATAAGATGGGCAGCGGTGAGAACAACGTCGCCCCAATAGGGCCGAGGCACACTCATAGAAGAACACATGCACCGAGCCATGTCAAGAAGATGCCGATTCGTGCATTTCGCCACCCCATTTTGTTGAGGGGTATTGGTGCAAGATGTCTGGTGGATAATGTCATGAGAAGAGAAATATTGTCCTAACCCAGAATCTATATATTCCCCGCCATTATCAGAACGAAATAGTTTGACAGTGGCCCCAAACTGAGTACAAATCATCTTATGAAAATTGCGAAACACAGAGAAAACCTCACTCTTATCTTTCATGAGATACACCCAAGTAGTACGAGAAAAATCATCAATAAATGTAACAAATCATCGATGACCTTTTACAGACATAACACGAGAAGGACCTCAAACATCAGAATGTATTAATGAAAAATGAACTAAACTTTTATTCAAACTGTGAGCAAAAGAAACTCAGTGTTGTTTTTCAAGTTGACAAGACTCACAAAGAAAGTCAGACACATGATGATTTGCGAAACCAGATGGAAATAAATGCTTAAGTAAATAAAAGGAACGATGTCCAAGACGCCGATGCCACAGTCATAAATCAGCGGGGGTAGTAGAAGACGTGGTGGAAGAATAAGCAAGTTTGTTCGGTAGATCCAGGAAGTAGAGACCATTTTTTGCACTACCATTGCCAATCGTCCTCCTCGTGACAAGGTCCTGAAAAAGACAATGATCAGGAAAAAACGTCACACTACAATTCAAATCCTGGGTAAGACGACTCAAGGATAACAGATTAACAGAAAAATTGAGAACATGGAGAACAGAAGATAGATGTATGGTAAGAGTGACTTGGACTAAACCTTTTTCAGAAACAGAAGAAACAGTACCATCGGCAATCCTAACTTTGTCCTGACCTGAAGAGGGCTTATAGACAGAGAAAAGATCAGAGGAGCCAGACATATGATCGGAGGCACTGGAATCAATAATCCAAGGCAAAGACTTATGACACAGGAAAGCACAAGGAGAAGAGGCTAAGTTACCTGAGCGGGCAAAGGACGAGGAAGCTGTACTGAGAGCAGTAGAAGACCTGCGGTCCAACATTGGCGCAAAGCATCCTCCAGCTCAGTATCAGAAGCTTGGCCAACAGAAGCAGAATTAGAATCAAGTGTATCAACGACACTAGACTGATGTGTCCGGGAATAGGAACCACGTCCTCTAGACTGGCCTGACCGACCTCCTCGAGAACCAGACCGATCACTTCGACCCCCGGATGGAGTCCCATGAAGCCTCCAACACGTCTCACGAGTATGCCGCGGATTCTTGCAATAATCACAGAATACAGACTCCTTAGCAGCAGACTGAGGGCTGGCAGTCAGGCTGAGACCATCTCGAGGAGTAGACAGTAATGCTGAGCGATCAATAGAGACAGGGGACATCATAGCAGACCGGCGACTCTCCTCATTCTGTACATAGGCAAATGCCTCTTGAAGTGAAGGAATAGTGTCCATACCTAGAACTCGACCCCTAACTGGATCATACTCCACATTTAGGCCTGCCAGAAATTTAAAGATTCGTTCCCGTGCGATGAACTTCTTGTACCCGACAAAATCAGCAGGGCTTATAGTCTTCTAGGTGGTCAAGGCGTTTCCAGCCGTTGGTGAGGAAAGTGAAATACTGAAGAACAATCTGCTCCCCTTGAAATGAGCTCTCAATAGAGCGGCGCAACTCAAATGCCTGTGAGAAATTCCCTTTGCGGAAATAGGTGGCAGCCACAGCCTCCCAAACATCCTGGGCAGTCTCCATAGACAAGTAGCCCTCACCAATTTCAGGAACCATCGAATGAATAAGCCAACCCATAATCAAAGAGTTGATAATCTCCCATTGGTCAAAACCCGAGTCAGTGGTACTAGGTGCTTGTATCTTGCCATTAACATACCCCATCTTCTCTCGGCTTTTCAAAAATATAGTCAAACTTTGAGACCATGCTAGGTAGTTCTGACCATTAAATAGAGAGGTGGTAATTTTCAAACTAGGGTTGGGGTTCTCAGTCATGGTAGTAGGTATAATGAGACTCTCACTCCTCGGTGTTTAAGAAGTAGGGGACACACTGGTGGAATCTGCCATGGATACAATACTACCGAACCCGCAACAAAACTAGTGACAATCACACACCCAGAAGGTGATGGTAAAAGAATAGGCACAATGAACACTATAAAGGCATAACAAAAAATTAAGAAATCATAAAGGTTTTTTGTTTTTGTTTTGTTTTTTTTTCTTTTTTTTTTATAGTAATTATTTATTTATTTATATATGCATTGGTACGGATACAGGCATATAGCTTATTTATTTATACATGTGTATACACGACATATATACCAAACAGAGATGAGGTCTGTTGTATACCTCTGAGAGCATACCAGACGAACGAAGATGAAGGAGATCGACGATGTGAGGAAGACGAGCTGAGTGATGAGAGCGGCTGACGAGATCGACTGACGAGCTGACGGCTGAGTGACGATCGATAGAGGAAGGCGAGGAGATCGACGATGTGAGGAAGACGAGCTGAGGAGATCGACTGAGGAAGACGAGCTGACGGCTGAGTGATGATCAACAGAGGAAGGCGAGGAACTGAGGAGATCGACTGAGGAAGATGAGCTGAGTGATATCCACCCAGGTAAGCTTCGAACCCTAGAGTGTCGTTGGTGTAGAGGTCTACCAACGAGGGTAAGCCGAAACCCTAGAGGTTCTGCTGTGATACCATGAAGCTTGAGTAACCTACTTAGGGTTTGATAGAATATCATCCCCTATTTATAAATGAAGATTAGGGTTTACAAGATGAGACGATTACAAGTTGAGCCCTGGGGGCATAGACTAATTACAAACCACAAAAGCTCAGATAATAATATAATATGCTAACATCATCATCATCGTTGGTCGACCACCATAATTCCTCACCATCGTCAGTTCAACAATATGCTATGCGAACCATTGCTTATAGAATTGAGAGAGATCCAAGGGAGAGAGATCTCTGATGGGGTGAGAAAGAACAGGTTTAGAGAGAAGAACATTAGGGATGAGAGGGAGAGAGTTATGCAAATTGATGAGGGCTGGTGAGTATTAATTTGTGAGGTGACTTGAAGAGAGAAATGAGGGGTTAGGGTAGGTGATGAGACGTTTGGCAGATCTGTGAGACAAAGAATGAAAGAAAAAATAATGTTACAGTGATAAAGTTATTTTGTGATTAGCTAACACGTCTTAAAAGACCAACAAATTTGATAAGGTGTAATCTTGTAAACCAAATATAGTTTGACACCTGTAAAATTTATATTTAATATATAAGATATACGGTCGGTTTGGTTTTTACGAATTTTCTGATTTTCAATCCGTTGGCCGACCGCCGATTCGAAAAATACAAGGTTTGCAACTCATAGCCGACCGTAGCAGCAGTCGAAATCATCCAATGTTCCATCAGTTCGGTCAGTTTGAACGGGTTGATCAGTTGGTTCAGTTATTTGCACAGGCCTAGGTTACATATTTAGAAACCCGATGATACAACTCCCATATATGAACTTATTTAGAAGTTTTTAGAATATCATCATCCCAAAATCATTCTGCGGGCTTGTTTCCATTTCTGAGTTGATCTGACCAAATTTTAACGTTCTAACCATGTGTATGTCCTCCAATATATAATAGATTTTTATAGTGTCTCTTGATTAATTTTGTGTGAATTTATTTAGAGTTATGTTTTGTTAGAAGTGTAATTTCGTAAACAAAGTCCCTTTTGCGTAATGTTTGTTTTCTGTACTTTTTCCTTCAAATGAATGTTGCAGGCAGAATATATACTGGATCTTCAAAAGCAACTTACTTTAGTGGGAGGTGAATCCAAGAAGGATTCTAATGGTACCTTAACCGAGGAGGAATCCATAACTAGCATGACCCCAACGGATAAGGTCCTTATGATGTTTTTCATATGTGTTTAAGCAACTCAAAATTGGCGTTGAATGCATCTCTGCTGTCGAATCTTGTCATGTTCAACATGCATTATTCTACTGTGTTTAGTTTTTCACTGCTTTTGAGATGAGTCAATTTAATTGCAGTGTAAAAAGTCTGAAACATTGCCATAAAGTCATGTACTCATTCTTTCTCAAGCCGTTGGTTTTTCTCCAGTTGCTCTTTTTTCTTTTTTAATTGTTGTTGTTTGTTGGCATTCAAAAACCTTGGAAGTAAAATAAAAAGACTGTAGTTGTGGTACCTATGTGTTAATGGTTGCAGTTTAAGAAGTACGGACACAGACACGTGACATGACACGGACACACAAATTTTCATAAAATATAGGAGACGACACATTGAGGACACATGTAAAACATGTAATTTATATATTTGTTATATGTCATATTTTTTAATATTATATATTTATTTTGTGTCAAATATTTATTCTCATCAAATTTATCAACCTTGAGTATGCTATTTCAGTTGAAAAAAAAGGGTTAAAAATAGAGCATGCCCCTAGTGTGTTCCTGGCCAACATGTGTTGTTTACTGGTACGTGCCCTCCGAAGAGGTGTCTCTGCTTCACAGGTTGCAGTCGGTGAAGTAAATGATGATAATGGTGTTCTTGTTCTTATTTCAATAAAAATGATGGCTTTTTGCTTCAAATGCTTTTGTAAATGAGATAGCATTATTTCATTTGATTTTCTTGTGCCAATTTACTCTAGAATAAATTTCATACCCTGCTGCTGACTGATTCATAAATTGTAGCTTCTTACATTGTGAATTAGACGGACTAAAAAATGTTAATTTGCTTGTACAGATACGCTCACAATTGGATGATACCATTGCTAGCAAATGCCCATTTTGTGGTGACTTGATGATTCGAGAGATCTCTTTGCCTTTTATCCTCCCTGGAGAAGCACACGAGGCTGCTTCTTGGGAAATAAGGCCACATAACATTGGAGCCCAGAAGAGCCTTTCTTTGGCTGTATGATTGAATGCCTTAATGGATTTGTAGTGCAGGTTATCATTGATCCATGTGCATGGCTGTGTTGAGGGGGTCTTTTAATTTGTGTTTTGCTTTATCGTCTTTATTCTTGGTGGTATATGGTTTCAACAAGTTATGATTTGTGTTACACAGAATGCATTCTTTCTTTTGTTAATTGATTATGTACATTTGAGAGGTTATATCTACTACCCTTTAGCTATCAGAGGTATCCATTACATCTCAGGTGTACTCGAGTGTATGTTCCTAATAGTTTGTTGTAGGCTCATCTACAGAATTTTGACAGGGATGCGTTAATGAACTAAATCACAAGAATTCACAATAGAACACTTTTCTACGAACCCAGTGAATGTGATTTCCATTTGGAGTTCATATGATTGTGATTTCCTTCTACAAAGTCTATATTGTATTGTCTTGTCTTGACTTGTCTTGGCTTGTGTTTTTTTTTTTTTTTTTTGAATTTCTTCCAAAATCAGTCTCATTTTTTCAATGTGTAACACCTCTACATGTATTGTTGTGAATGGAGTCCCTTTTGAGCCTTTCCACGCCCATGTTGTCTTGGTCAAGGAGACCTAAAGTTCTTCCATATTTTTCATAAATGTCGTGTTCCTTTGATGTAGCCATTTTTTGTACTTATTCCAATATATTCTCAATCATTATGTGAAATAAAAAATAAAAAAATAAAAAAATTACATTTATTTTTCTTGCAATTTGAAAAAAATACAGTAAGTTTTATATTTTTGATATAATTTCACTAGCCTTTTTTGATATTTTAATTCATATAAAATTTAATTTTTTTATTAATAATTTGTGAGTAGTATGAATGAGAAAAATAATATTAGTGTATTTTTTTTTATTAAATTGTATATTTATCTTTGCTTGTTTATATCTCTACTTGCTATATAGATTTGATGGCTCAAATCTACTATAACATAAATTAGTATAATTTAATTTATGAAGTCAATTGTATTTTTATTAAATTTCATGAGAGATGAGTGTAATTTATCTCAATACAAATGAATAATGAGTTAACATAATAATGATATATTTCTATAGTTAAGGTTATTAAAATGTATAAATTTATAAATATAAAATTAAAGTAATATTTATTAATAATTAATATTGGTTAATAATTGAGATAGAGATAGGAATGGTAATGGGGGGGACTAAAGAGATGGCGAAGATAGAAAGGAGCACTGCCAGCCATGTGGAGATGGGAGCAAGTGCATCCAACTGCAGTCGACGGACTTGACTCTCTTATCACACCACTCTCACTCTCCCATAATCCTCATTTTCTCTCTCCACACTCTCTTTATTCAACACATACTTGTCTTATACACCTTATAACGGTGGTGTTATATGCATCAATTAGTGTACTAACTAGTGTATCAACACGAGTTATGACTTTATTATTGACCACACTCATTAATAACATTATAAATATCAAAAACCTCTTAAATTATGTCACATCATCAATTGATACACCAGTTAATATACTAATTCGTATATATAGCATTATTCTATTTCTATAGTATAGATAGAAGTATAGATGTAGATATAGATTTCATATATAACCATTGAAACTAAAAATAGTAGTTATATTATTGCATATTTCAAATCATAAAATTTAAAGAAATAACATTAATATGATTAAGAGGATTTAAAAACTAACCTAATTTATGTAAATTAAATTTTAGACTAATCACAAAATGACATGTATAATTTAAATTTTTAAAAATCCAAAAAATATAAAAAAAAAATCAGATTGTGATTTTCAACATAAAAAAGTTAACGTTTTTATTTATACTGTGGCTTGCTTTGGCAAGCTAGCAAACTAGCTTTTGGTTTTTTTAGTTAAAAAAATTAATTTTTTTACTCAAGTCATTACCCAAAAAGTAAGATTTTTTGGCTAAAAAAATTAAAAGTCAATTTTTTACAAATTTCTCAAAACACCACAATATAATATCACAAGTGACTCACACAGTTATGTGCATGGATTAATTTTAATACCATTTATAATGTCTTATCACTTTCCAGCTCTAGTAGTAGTAATCTATAGAAAGTGGATTTACTATGAAATTTTTTAATGTAAGATAGGATTGTTACATTTTTAAAGAGTGCCTATTATAATGTTTCCTAAACCCACAATTTACTGAATGAGAAAAAAATTTGTTATATCACTGGAACTTTTAAGTGAAACTATTCACTTGTTATATGTTTATTTTTTTATTTTTTTATGGTGAGTTTGATTATTATTTAAATATAATACGTCCTTCATGTATACTTGATGTTTATTATTTTAGTATAAATAAAGGATAAACTAAAATGGTGAAATGTATTTAGTGATAATATTATTTTAATAAAAAAATATATATGTCAGTCAAAGAATAAATTTTATATTTTTTACCGTATCTTCCGTAAATCCACACAATATCTATATAATGTTTGTTGTCTACATGCATGAATCAAAAAGAAGAAGAAGAAATCTATTGGTGATGATTAAGGGTGTTAAAAAAAAAAAAATTCAGTGACACCCATAAAATCATATGATTTGGTATAGATCTTGAGGGAACGGTTTGATTCCAGTTCTAATAAATTAAGAATTATTGATTAAAAAACAGGCTTATTTTTAAGGAAAAATTACAATCATGGTGAAAGAGGAAAAATGATTTAAAAACATGGATGCAACTTTTTTTTGTTGCGAAGAATTCATAGAAAAAGTTACACCTCACCCCTTTTTATGAATATTTTTTGGTCAATCCATTGTGATGCAATTCCCAATTTTTAAAGAACTGTTGAAAATACGAAATTAACCACTGCACTACGAATCACCATGTGAATAAATGATAACTGTAATATTTCATTGCATTTACTTAATTTTTGTGTATAATTTTTTGATACACTACACTTGGCCCATTTTAATTTTGATCATTTTCTCACTTTCAACTTTTATGTTTGAAATTTTTCACAATTTACTTCTAAAATTAACTTCTGTTCAAATTAAACAAAAACTACTACATTAATTGTCTGAAGTTTAGATTTATATTAGAAATGTGAGTTATACATAATTAAATATTTTTATACAAAAGTTAGCTTTTGGAAAATAACTTCAAAAATAAAGATCCAAAATAGAGGAAAAAACTTTAAGAGCTAAAATGAAAAAATGACCAACTATGAAGAGAGTGTTATTTTAACATGCGTGCTGTCAAAGCAAGTTGTAGCAAATTTGTATAAAATTCACTTTTGGAGTGTTCAAATAGCACAAAAAATACTAGACAGGATTAGTCAAGTAAACAGCAATATCAGGGACACTGAAAGAAATCAACTTTTAAGTTTGCACACAGTAGAAATCAACTGTTGAAAATACAGAATTAACCACTGCACTACTGATTACCATGTGAATAAATGGTAACTACAATATTTCATTACATTCACTTAATTTTTGTGTATAATTTTTTGATACATTACACTTGGCCCATTTTAATTTTGATCATTTTCTCACTTTGACCTTTCATGTTTGAAATTTTTCACAATTTACTTCTAAAACTAACTTCCGTTCAAATTAGACAAAAAATACTACATTAATTGTCTGAAGTTTAGATTTATATTAGAAATGTGAATTATACATAATTAAATATTTTTATACAACAGTTAGCTTTTGGAAAAAAAAACTTCAAAAATAAAGATCCAAAATGGAGGAAAAAACTTTAAGAGCTAAAATGAAAAAATGATCAAACATGTAGAGAGCAAAGTTTAATTTGCTCCGTGTTATTTTAACATAGCAAGTTGTAGCAAATTTGTATAAAATTCACTTTCGGAGTGTTCAAATACCACAAAAAATACTAGACAGAATTAGTCAAGTGAATAGAAATATCAGGGACACTGAAAGAAACCAACTTTCAAGTTTGCACACATGGTAAATTGATACAGAAGTCTCTTAGCGATTTTGAAGGTTCATAATACATAAAGAGAGCCTGAACGCATGGGTTACACAAGTAACAATATAAAAACCACATATATAATCATGGTACACGTACCTCATGATTATACAAGTAATGGTATAAAAACCGCACATATAATCATGGTACACATACCCATGAACATACTGCATTCTCGCTCTATTTAACAACCTGAATCTCATCTCAAACTCATCACAGGTCATGCAGTCACCCCAGCCGCAGGCAGAGTTGGTCGCATGACTGGGACCTGTTTCACCACTGAGAAAGCTTCATTAAGACGTGCAGCGCGACTCATGAACTGAGATACCTTCTGCAGATAATCAATCAAAAAATTTAAATAAAAACAAAAAATGTTAGGCACCAATTATGAATCAGGTCTTGCCCCCTTCCCTTGAAGACTACTTAAACTGCTGCAAGCAAAGAATAGATGAAAGGAGGGACCTTGTTTTCTTAGCACCACGAGACTTACATGTGGTCCAATCCTAGTTGATAATGTAGAAGAATCAATAAAGAAAAATCTCCCAATGAGGATTACATATATCCCAAGCCTACAACGTCCATTCACTATTAATTCCAATCCTAGTTGATAATGTAGATTTTTTGTTACACGGGTATTTTTGTCTTAACAAATGGTTTATTTACTCTCAACACTGGTGCATGTAATGCACTTCCTGTTAATTTGGAAAGACATTGTGACAGGTCATTTTAGTCTAAAAACCACGAAGCATTAAGTGGTTATTTCCAAATGGCGTGCACAAGTCCTATACCATATGGGGTAAATTGAAAGTTCCCCAATTGTAAACTGCAAGTAACCAATAGATTACAACACGTAACCTACCATTTGATTTGATTGTTAAAAAGCCAACAGGGAAAGAACAAAAAGCGAAATCTTTTTATTAAAAAAATTATCAGACCAAATAAAAAAGAGTCTTGTGCTATGAGTTGGTTCAAAAGTGAGAATTGAAGTAAGCCATATACTTGTGTGATGCTAAGTTAGCAATATTTTCTTTTCCATAGCCTATTTATAAAATATTCAAAATTTAGAAATTTGATTCTTTTTCTTTTTTCAAGGTTAACCCATCAACCAAAAATAGCAATTAAGGTGAAAATACTCTACAAAATACAATGTCAGAGTTAAATGGTTCTCATTTTGTGATACATCAATAACATGAAATAAGAAAGATAGCAGTTGGAAACTAAATTAACCAGATGAAATTAAGAGTCAGTTTGAATAGATGTAGATTTTAAATCAAGGATTTGACCTTAATCATTCAAAGACAATAACTCAATTTAGATATAATAGTTTACTTATGAATTTCAAGATTAAGATAAATAAGGTGAACATGATGAATTTGAAACAACTATCTAAAACTAGTTATTTGAAATCATGTTGAAAGATTCTCTTTCTAGCTA